TTAAATGGGCAAAATTATTTTTTTTAAAACGGAGTCACCGAACGGATTAATTAAGTTTATGTGACGTCCACTGTAATATTCTTTCTACTTTGGCATACACTTTTTTTTTACCCAGTTGCTTTAAAGCTAGATGTGTCATGAATTCCTGTCGGTTTCTCAAAATAGAGAATATGAGTGCACCTGACTTTTACAGAATTAATCCAAAATGTTTGCTTACAGAAAAGACTAACAATAAAATAGATTTGGTTATATTCACTTTTTATGGTATATTCTGATGACTATCTCTTTGGGAATAACTTTACGTGGAAAGTAAACTTCGAAATACTAAAGGGGGATAATACAATGCAAAATTTGAAAATTATTATTGGATAAATCAAGTACCGGTTAATAACATCTGATATTACAACACATTTTAATGCAACTACATAAACTTCATTAGACTAACTTTGTTATTTCATAATTTTATTTTGAAACTATTTATTTGTTTAAACTACTTCATCAATGAATGAATTTAAGCAGGTTATTTCAAAATTTACAGTAGCAAAAAAAAAAGACAAAAAAAAAAAAAAAAGACAAATAATGTTTGGTACAAAAGGTTTATCGTTTTTCCTGTGGCTATTTAAAACAGGTCATTGTTTAATCAATACTTTCTGAATGAAGTAAATAATATAAAAAAGAATAAAGGAAATGTCTACAAAAGGTGTAATATAATTATTAGTACCGGTACCGGTATGTAATTTTATCTGAGGTAAGAAAAGATGAACTAAAATTTAAAGGAATTGTGTAACCCATGCATGGTCACGGTAGCCTAAATTTCAACTAGCATCTTTTTTTTTTGTTGCTAGCCATTTAAGTGTAAGAGTGATGCAAAACTAAATTCATGCATGCACCAAAATGCATCCCATCATTTTGGATTGATCGATAATTTTCTGGGGAGGGGCTTACTTACTAGGATTACTCCCAAAACCTTACCACCAGTTTTGTTGTCCCAGGCAACGCACGATCTACGCCTAAGAATTAATTTGATAAATAATTAACCTGCTTCAGTAAACACACCACATGGGGAGGGGATTTGGGGGGGGGGG